CCGGTTGTGACCCACTTCAGACTTCCAGCCAAGTCGACTTGCGAAGTCGAGCTGTTTGATCAGTTAAGTCGAACCTAAAATTGTGGATTGTTTTGGGTATTCTTTGTCCATTTTTGTTATTTTGCTCATTATTTATCAATTACTTTTTTGAATGAATAAAAAGGATAAATGAATAAAGAAAAATATTTCAAAAAAAATGTTCTAAGGAAAAGTTGAAAGTATCAATTTTCTTTAAAAATAAAATAAAAAAACATTTTTAGAAAAAGTTTAAAGTATCAATTTTTTTTAAAAATAAAATTTCTAAAAGATATTTTTGAGAAAAAGTTGAAAATATCAATTTTTCTTAAAAGAAATTTTTTTTTTAAAAAATATTTTTAAAGGAAAGTTGATTGTATTAATTTCCTTTAAACACAAAAAAATATTTTTTTAAGGGAAAGTTGAAAGTATAAATTTTCTTGAAAAATAAAAAGTTAAAAAAAGTATTTTAAGGAAAAGTTGAAAGTATCAATTTTACTCAAAGTACAATTTTTAAAATAAAATTTCCAAAAAAATACATTTTGAGAAAAAATTGAAAGTATCTTTTGGAAGATGATCTTTAAGAGTTTTTGCTTTATTATTATTTGACACCATTTACATCATTTTGAGTAGGCCTTTGTTTTATGTTAATGTTTTTAACTTAAATAGCTATTCCTAGCAATTTTTCTTGGTATGCCTATTCGTTTTAAGCATAGTAGTCATACTTTCTTGATTTCAATATTTGTTACATGGATTTGCATTTTGGTTTGATGTTGAATTCAATGGATTAACAAATTCTCCTACAAATAATCATACCATATCTTCACTTATTGGAGCATCAAAAAAATCCTGTGTATGATATCTAGAAGAAGAAATAAGCCAATCCTAATTAAGGGTGTAATCAATCGAGTTCAAGTCGCGCTCGAGTTCGAGCTTAACTTAAAATTCAAAGCTCGAAATTCAGTTAGAACTCGATCAAATTTTATTTTTTTATCTCGAGTTCAACTCGTGATAGAAATTGAGCTACCTAAGCTTGCTAAATTAAACTCGATATTCACTGTTTAGAATATAAAACTTTGAATTATAAATCTACTGACAAAAGTTTAGCTTAATCAAATCACGAATCGAATTTTGTTCAACTAACTCTCATTTCTCTCTTTTTTCTCTAATTTTCTAGCTTCTGTTCTTTCTATTCTTTGCCACGCCACCACTTTGTTTCTTTTTTTTAAAAGCCAAAACAGCCCTAATTTATTTAATATGTAGAGCTCCCTTTTTTGATTAAAAGTCAAAAGTTAAAAGGCCTATGACCTTTAATTAGTCCAAAGGAATGGGGTACGACCCCACATTCCTAACACTTTGTATATGTTTTCTTTTTATGTACGACTTTGAATGCACATAAATTTTTCTAAGAATTATCATTGTGTGTGCGAACCATAAAATTGAAATGTTATGCAGTGGTGTAATAAGTTTATCTCTTTTGGAAGATGATTTTTAAGAGCTTTTACTTTATTATTGTTTCATACCATTTACGTCATTTTGAGTAGGCCTTTGTTTTATGTTAATGTTTTTAACTTAAATAGCTATTCCTAGCAATTTTTCTCAGTGTACCTATTCATTTTAAGCATAGTAATCATACTTTCTCGATTTCAAGCTCTACTACATGGATTTGCATTTTGGTTTGATGTTGAATTCAATGGATTAGCAAATTCTCCTACAAATAATCATACCATATCCTCACTTATTGGAGCATAAAAAAAAATCCTGTGTATGATATCTATAAGAAGAAATAAGGCAATCCTAATTAGGGGTGTAATCGATTGAGTTCAAGCTGATACAATATTAAGTTTGAGCTTGAGCTTAACTCAAAATTGGAAGCTAGAAACTCAATTCGAATTTGATCTAGTTCTATTTTTTTAACTCGAGCTCAACTCGAGATAGAAATTGAGCTATCCGAGCTTGCTCGATTAAACTCAATTAATATGTATAAATAAGCTTGATTCTTATATTCGATACAAACTCAATTATTTGTGTTTGAGCTCAAGCTCCAGATATTTTTTAATTAAAATAATATATTAAAATATAAAAACTTGATTAGGCTTACGAGCTACTCGAGCAGAGTATAAGAATGTTTAAATTCGGTTTGATCAATAAGTTGAGTTACTGAACTTGAGCTCGACTTGATAATAACCAAACCAAATTCAAATTTTATTTAAATCTAACACAAGTAACTTACGAGTACTAATGTATCATTTACACTCTTAATCCTAATGAAATATTTACTCTCAATAATATTAGAGGATCTTCCAACACATTAACAATAGGTATTACCATACTAATTTTTAGTTTGCACATGCTGAGTTTGCAAACAAAGACACTTTCTCTACACAAAAATTGTTTAATTTTGTCAAAATATATGCTATCGGTTTAGCTTAAAAAAATTAGTAGCTTTTTTAGTTTTTATTTTTATAAAAGTGTGGCCTTTAATCATACAAAAAATATCAAAGCCATTTTTTAACAAAGATACAAGTTACAAACATAATATGGAAAGAAAAAATGGAGATGAAAAGATATAATAATTATTATATCTAAATAGATAAAATTATTTAGTGCTAAACCTGTTTAAGGGGCAAGTTACTTGCAACTTGAAGATCCCTTAAGTTTTGAAAGGGTTTGGACAAAAAATTCAAACCCATTAAACATGTTTGGGTATAATTTTTAGGTCTGTTTAAATTTTGAACTAGGTCTTAAACACAAAATTTAAAACTTAAGCTTGACCCAAATTCACATATATATATATTGATTTTTTTTTTATTTTGATGTATATTTGAATTATATATAAAGTAATTCACATATATATAAAAATTAAAAATAAAATTATATATATTTTATTAAACTTAATTGTTATTTTTATATAATTTTTGTTTTTAATTTTTACATATATAATTTTTATTTTAAATTTATATATATGTGAATTAAATATGATCTTATTAAACTTAATTTGATCATTTTTTTATTTTTATTATATAAATTAAATTTAATAAGTAGATTCAAGATTTATTTTTATAATTTGGATCAAATTTAAAAAAATTTAAAAACTTAAAATTTTGAACTAAATCAAATCCAAATAAATATATAAATTATTAATATTAAATATAAATTCAACTTAAATTCGACTCGACTCATTAACATATTTAATATGTACATCGCACGAGTAATAAACTATTTTTTTTATATGGTTGTAACAACGAATTTGGTAAGGTGAATCGAGTATCCATGATTACATGGTATGAAAATAACGGAGAACTTAGAAATGACGGCCATGTTAGGTTTAAAAAAGCATATTTAGGGTACTGATTAGATTTAGTCTTCAGAATTGCCTGGTCAACATTGGCAACCTACCTGAGGTCTTGATAACGATTTCCCCTTCTGTTCTAAAATACTCTAATCAATGGAATTTGAGGAGTTCGTTCGGTATGCCTGCATCATAATTACCTTAAGCAATTTTTAGTCATGCTATGTAGCATAGTCATTACCATCAAACAAACAAATCATGTTATTTGTTCTTTCTTCCATTTCTATGCTTATTGAATAATGTCCTTTACTTATGAATTTGTAGCATTTATAGTTTCCTTTTAGTTTTTAGATCTATAGTTATTAAGACAAATAAGATTCGCATTGCTTGTTTTGAATGCTAGCTACATGGTTCAAATCTTTTTCTTTAAAATAGTCTTTAATGGATTATTTTTCATTGAATGGTGTCTACAATAGATTATTTTTCCCTGAATTGAGTTTTTGTTTATTGTAGGAAAGTTTAGTTCCGTGATTACTCTAGATATTGTCAACCTTTTGATTTTTGCATAGATTATTTAAATTTATACTATAGTAATCGGTAGGATCACGATAGTTCTGATTTTAGTTGTTAGGTAAAAAGTCTTTAATCCAATTAAATATTTAAGCCAATAAAAATAAAATCAAACAATCAATTTAAAGATAACAATTTAATGTGATTTAGCTAAATTAATTTATGTCCATAGATAAAAATAAAAAATCTATTAATTATAAAGAATTATAAATATACAAATTACATCAATTAAAACTCACAATTAATACTCATAGATCTTTTCATTCATCTATAATTTTATAAAGTATTTTTAATTCAAACAAATACATATATGTGACTTATCATACTTATGTAAATTCTCTCATTCTTGTCTAATACATTTAAATATATACACTTATAAGGACAATCTCAATCTCCAACGATGTTTAATCAAAATCTTATAACTTTTTTATATTTTCTTATCGTATCTAACTTTATGAACATTCTGTCTATTTATAATTATACTAATTTTTTATCAAAAATTTATTTTAAAAATATTTTTTAAAAATCTTTTTATCTATAAAATAATATTTAACCAATCTTATCTTAAATAAATCTCTATCCAAACCCGATATAACATTTAAGAGGATTTGAAATAATGCTCAAATAAAAATGATATTTAAATTGATCACATGTTAGGAGGGCAGAAAAGAAGTATTCAGGATTTAATACACACTAAATTCTATAATTCTGACCATATTCCTCCGTCACAAGTTATCTCTTAGATGATATCTATTCCAAATCTATTGTTTTCATTTAAGTTCATGTTGCAATGGATTAATGCAGATTCTTTCTCCAAAGTGAAAGATCTCATTGTCTCGTCATTTGGTTGTGCTCAGAAGTCAAGAATGAGTTTCATTATGTTGAATCCCTCAATGCATTTCCTCTTTCTATCTATCTACTAAAATACAATTGACGAATGCTAAACTTTTAATTCCAATTCTAAAAATCTCAAATAAAAAAAAATATCCTACTTGCCAAAGACAACAAAAGAAAAGGCCACAGAATCAACGACCACAGGAAAAAGGCCTAGCCCAAACATAAGAAATTAGAAACTGAAGCCCAAATTACAGGGTTGCTTTTGTCATTTAATATTATGCAAGGTGAAAATTGCACAATCCCCAAATTCCCCCCAATCAAGATAATTTCACAAAATCTCTGGGTTCGTTTCTCTCTTCCTAAACCCCTCAAAACATAACCAGATTTTGTTTAGTCTCTCTGTCTCTGTGGTTTTCACGATTCGTACCTAAATTTCTTAATTTTTTTAGAGACCCATCTTGCTTCTTCTCTTATCTTCTCTCTTCATCTCATGTAAGTTTCCCAATTCAATCAAATTCTATGATTTTAGGGTTTTATGTTGTGGTTCATATTATTTATAGGCATTTATTTTTCTTTCTGATTTGAGTTTTCTAAGGCTTACTCATTAATGGGTTCTCTTTGATTTGTGGTGATATGCAATTTTTTTGAGTTAAATTACTGTCTGGGTCGAGTTAGGGTTTTTTTTTTTTTCATTTTTATTTCTGTGATTTGGGAAGGTTCTCCTGATGCTGGGTTCTTTTTTTTTTTTTTTTGTAGTTTTATGCATTTTTTGGAGTTTAATTACTTGCTGTTGTGGGGTTTAAGTCATGATTTTTTTTTTTGTTTTCTTGAAAGAAACGGTCAGATTGGCACATATATTTTGCATTGTCTACTACTTTTCATATGTTCATGTTTTGTTTCCTCATGTTTTCTGCAGCAAAACGCTAATGGCTGAGGGTGGTCAAAGCTTTGTTGAACATGAAGAGGAGCGGGTGCAAGAACCTGAAAACTTGGAGCAGAATGTGAACCTGGAGCACAACCTGAATTTGGAGCAGAATCCGAACCTGGAGTACGACTTGAACTTGGAGCACAACGTGAACTTGGAGGAAAATCCAGAAGAGAATTTGGAGGAGCAGAACTTGCACCAGGAATCAGAGCTTCAACCAAAACAAGAACATGAAGATGAGGCAATGGTTGGAGGCGGTGAAAAGAAGTGGCCTGGATGGCCTGGAGAGAGTGTGTTCCGGATGTTGGTTCCTGCACAAAAGGTTGGTAGTATAATTGGACGTAAAGGGGAGTTTATAAAAAAAATAGTTGAGGAGACAAGAGCTCGCATCAAGATACTTGATGGTCCTCCAGGAACGACAGAGAGAGCTGTAAGTTTTTACCATCTCTTCTTTTCTTATATTATATTTAGCATTGATTGTGGGAATAGACTATTAGGGCAGAACCAGTTCTACTTGTTGATGCTCACTTTCTGTTGCTACTTTTACCATCGAGTTATAAGTGATATGTAGAATTTCAGTATCTTCTGTTTGTGTATAATGATTCTGCAGCACAAAGTGGCTTTCTTTAACTGCAAACTTAGGCGGACAGTCGTTACTGGAGATTTCTTTACCTACTTTTTCTGTTCTCCATATCTTATGATTTTTATTGGAGACTTTTCTGTTCTCTTTTTATTTGTTTGACATTCCATGTGCATTTATTTGGTATTTTGTGCTTATAATGAAGCCATATAGTTGTACATGATGTTGGAATGATTTTCACTATACAAAGTAATAAAGCTTGCTCTTCAATTTTAGCTAGATCTCTCCTAGTTTTAGGGATACATGATATATTGGTTTATTTAATCCACTAAGAAACATGAAAATAATAAAAAGGGAAATATAAAATATACATCACCAAGTCAAATTTAAGCTTTAAAATATTCCTTCTAATCTAAGCCAATTCTGTAAATAAGTTATATAAGAAAACATTAAAGAAATAGGAATAAGGATTTAAGTGCTAAATTAATGGATGTAAGATTTAAAGTGCTTTACTTTGCAGTAATTTGAATAAATATAATTCTTTCTTACATAATAATTGGTAATTACCGCTTAAAGTTACAACACAATGGCTGTCAATTACATGCCCAAGGCATGATATCGTTTTAAAGGTTTGAGTAATTGAAGAAGACTATAAGGAGGGCCATGAGAAGCAATACATAAAATACAAATACGGATTGCTTTATTGCAATAACAAAAATGAGTCTGTGCAGGTTCCATTTGGAAATTTTAAGGCAAGGAGTCAATCATCAATAAGACTCCAGTTATGAGGAACCAAAGTCCCAGATTGCAGGGATCAGCATCGAGCATTTGAAAGCTTGATCTGAATTAACAGACACATTTTGTATGAACAACTGTACCAAGAAGCACTGCATTCTCTCTGGTAAATTCAGAACCTGGATGATTGGTGTCTTGCCACAGATTGTAAAAAGAATCTTAAAGGAACCTGTGGAAACAGCTCTAAGATCCCTCAAAATCGAAGCTAAAATTAAACTCTTATTTGTAACCATCATACATATGCCAACAATAATTGTGGTCTAAATTTACCCAAATTCATGTAAAACCTGTCTTAATGACAGAGACATTGTATATGCATATATGATATATTTCCTAATAAAAGTCAAAATTTATGATCCAAATAACTTTCAAAACTTAACAGGTAAAAGCAACTTGGTTAATAAGTCTGTTCACTTATTGCAGACAAGGCTAGTAGTTTTTACAGATACGCGGACATTGTATTGGAAAATAGTAACTAAACTAGGATCAAGTTATAGTCCTGATGAAATAAAACAGTTTTAGTAAAAGTCTGTATCATTTTTGAATAAAATCAAGTAGTTTTTCCTTTAAACTGAAAGAGTTTAATGTTATGTTATAGATTATATAAAATCTGATCCAATTGGCATTTTTTCACCTCTTTGATACATTATGCTTCATATATATACCCCATTTCTCTCTTTATTTGCTGGCAGGATGTAATAAAATTGGGGTTTGTTTTATTTTGTTATTTCCTCTTATTTTTTTGGGCATATGGACTATGAAACGTAACACTTTAGCCTTTGTGCTTATGCTGCTGCTCTGTCTTGTGAATAGGTAATGGTATCTGCGAAGGAGGAGCCTGATTCTTCTCTTCCGCCTGCTATGGACGGGCTTTTGAGGGTCCATAAACGCATTGTTGATGGTTTGGAGGGTGATTCATCTCATGCACATACGGCTGTAACCAAGGTTTCAACAAGGCTGCTAGTCCCTGCCTCACAAGCTGGGAGTTTAATCGGAAAACAAGGAACAACTGTCAAATCCATTCAAGAATCTTCTAATTGTATCGTTAGAGTTCTTGGAGCAGGTTTTCTTCTCAGGATTTTGTTTCTCACTTTTTTTGCTTTTTCTTTATGGTTGAAAATTTGCCAATTTTTCAGGTTGTTATCTACGTGTTAGTGTTGCTGAAAGAGTAGAGTTTAATGATCCTTCTGCATAAACTATTTTCAACTGTTTGTCTAATTTGTGTTTAATATTGTTTAATATTGTCTAAGTAGTGTTTATCGAATTAGCGTTTAATATTGTTCCTTGTGTTTCAAGAAGTTGTGGGTGAATAATGTTACTGGTTCTCTCAAATCAAATTATAATGTTGAGAATATGACTCTCTTGATTTTAACCAAATTTAAGAATATGGTTTTTCAGTTCCAGTGCTGATAATTTGAAGCTTTGGCATCCTTTGTTTGATAATCTCATACTATCCTTTTGTTCAAAGGATTTCATTGGTAATATTTTGTGCTTTTCTTTGGTTGCTTTTCATTGATATGTTGACATCTCTTTTTTCTTTCTCTTTGTCAAATAAAATGAAATGTTGCAGAAGATCTTCCAGTCTTTGCTCTTCAAGATGATAGGGTTGTCGAAGTTGTAGGAGAAGCGGCTGGTGTGCACAGAGCAGTGGAGCTAATTGCATCTCATCTCAGGAAGTTTTTAGTGGACCGCACTATAATTCCATTATTTGAAATGCATGTGAGGCTTCTATTGTTTGTTGACCTACTGATTAATTGTGCCTCTGTTAGTTTATAGAATGTAATGAAATTCTGTTAAATGTTTCTACCAGATGCAAATGTCTAATCCTCAGATGGAACACATGCCACCTCATCAATCTTGGGGTCCACCTCAAGGTGTCCCTTCAAATGCTAGTGGAGGTGCTGGTTTTGGACACAATCCTCAGTACATGCCGCCTCCACGGCAACTTGACAATTACTACCCACCTACTGATATGCCTCATATGGAGAAACAGCCACATCAGGGTATTTCTGCCTATGGAAGAGAAGCCCCAATGGGTGCCCATGCATCATCAAATCCCCAGAGTGCACCATCAATGATCACACAGGTAATTCCATACCGCTACTTACTTACCTGGTGGCCTCTATTTCTCCATCCCCCCAATTTCCATGTTACTTGAGAAGAAGATGTTGTGGGCCATGATACTCAGCTAATGTTAATCTGATTCTGCTTTTGGTTTGGGTTGTTTAAGTCATGGGGAGGGCTTGCTGAATTTTAGTATTTGAGTTCCATGTAGAGTAAGTAGTCCTGCCTCAGCCTGAAAGGGGGTGGATGGGGATGTTTTAGCTAACCTCTCATGCCCGTGCATTGTGGAGATCCATGTATGCATCTTAATTTAAATTTCGGGGTCCTGACAGTGGGGTCTTCCCAGTCCTGTAAAGTTTTAAGTTGATGAATGGTCTTGGCCTGCTTGAGAAACCAGATCCTAATATGTTAATAAGCATTTATGGGTCTTTTCTTTGCAGGTCACTCAGCAAATGCAAATTCCGCTATCTTATGCTGATGCTGTTATTGGGACTGCTGGTGCAAGCATTAGCTATATTCGACGTGCTAGTGGGGCAACTGTCACCATTCAAGAAACTAGGGGTGTTCCTGGTGAAATGACAGTTGAAATAAGTGGAACTGCTTCACAAGTTCAAACTGCTCAGCAACTGATACAGGCAATGTTCTTTGCCCTGGCTTCTGAACGATTGTGATCTTTCTTTTTCTATTTGCTAGATATTGGGAACACCAGAACAGTTTCCATGTTTTTTTTTTCCCATTGCTTACACTTCTGATTTGCTTGTAATGCTGTTTCCAGTTTCCACCTGCCTGGAGGCTTGGTGCAGCTCTGTAGTTTGACTTTACACTGCTGCTATAGTTACCATGGGTCCTATCTATCATGTCTTTTTCTTGTCCTTGCTAGAAAAGAAGCATTTTATGACACAGATGTTAAACCATGCTTAGTCCGACTGTTTTGCCCACTTGCAGTAGGATAAAGGAAGTCATGTATCATTCTGAAGCATGATCATAGAGGGCTGCATAAGATAAAGAGTTTTCACTGAGATGATTTTGAAAGTAAAAAAATGAGATTGCCGTTATAATGATGATTTAAAACCTCATTCTGTATAGCTTGCTAAGTCCTATAATTGGATAATAGAGCCAGTATTAATCATGGTAATGTTTTAACCATGTCGTCTGCTAATTTTATTTGGGCTCCATGAGCTCTCTCTCGCCATGCATGGGATGGTCTTGTATGGAGTGTTATCAGAATATAGCTCTTTTGGGGTAAACTATTGAGTGCAGTTTATTGAGTAGAATTCTATAGCTACTGCTTATTGTTATCAATTGGTTTGTGTACTCTGTTCCTGCTGGGTCAAATACTGATATTATTTGTATTTTGTTGCAGAATTTTATGGCTGAAGCTGCAGCTCCAGCTCAAGCACAAACAGGGGCTGTAGACCAAGCATATAATCCTTATGCGGCTCATAGTTCTGTATATGCGTCGCCACCATCCAATCCAGGACATGCAGGCCATACTGGAGGCTATGGCTCCGTTTATGGTTCAAATTATGGGTACTAAGCAGCATTGTTTGATATTGATGTCGTCTTGGAGATCATAAAATGATTGAAACTTTGTGGAAAATTACCGAATCGGTTTAAAGTGTTGGTATTCTGCACAATGTTATGAGTTAGAACAAACTAAACTTGTTGGATTTGTCGTCTGCATTAGGCTAACCGTAGGGTTGTGCCAGTACAATATTTTTGAAAAATTTCTGATTCAATCTCCATCTTTCCTTATATTTGACTCTCAAATTCAGCTTTTTCTGTTTGGATTCGTACAGTCGCTAACGGGCATTTCCTCTCGTATGGGTAGTTAAACGTTTTTCTTTGGGCCAATATAGTTAAACTTTGTTGAGGCCTTTGGTTTTTCAGGTGCAGCGGGTCTTAACCTCTTGTCAGATTCAGGGTTTATTTCATAAGAGCTTGTCCTTTGTTGGTGCATAAGATAATGATAAGATTGTTTTTTATCATATAAGAATATGTTTGATGCATGAGATAATAGAAGTGATAATGTAATAATTATTTTATATTATATTTGATTTTTATTTAATTAAAATAGATAAGATTAGAAGGATTATTATCTTTTTAGTATAGGATGATTTTATTTTTTTAAAATTAGAAGAATTAATTTTAATTTATAAGATTAAATTTATTTGTTTTATTATATTTTTAAAAATTATATTAATAATTTAAATTATATAAATTTAGGGGAAGAATAATTTTAGTTAATAAATAGATTTTTTTATTTTAATTTTTTTACATATCAAATATAAAATAAAAAAATATTATTTAATTTAATTTAATTTATAATATTATTTTATCTTATTTTATTATAATATAATGTATTAAATAAAATCAAAAGTTATAATTTCTCTTATCAAATTGTCAGTTGTGCGTTCTTCAATGGATTGATCATCCGTATTAGCTTCGAATCCATGACTTTTCTATTTTTTGAAAAATATTTTACGATGTATATAAATTTTTTCGCTAGCATTTTCCTTAGACCTTGTTGAAACACCCATTCTATAATCTATACACTCCTTTTCACCTTAATCTCTCCATATCTCAATTATATGCATGCAACGCAAGGGTCAAATGTCACATTAAGGCTATACCTACACCATTAAATTTATAAGCCTAAACTGATTCTTCAAACATGATTATTGGTCGCATAAGAATCTTTTTCGTTTTACTTTATGTTATGATCTCCATTTTTGCCTTTGGTTCTACATATCTATGGCTTATTGATTCACTAATCCTTCCTATGGATTCTCTCAAGAAAGAAAAAACTGTGGAAGAATGGGAATTTGAATAAAAAAAAAAAAAAAACTCATCTGTCAATCCAAACATCCCAATGATAGGCCATCAATCCCACATCTAATTGGTACCATTACAAAAGGATTCTTTCCCATGTGTTGCCTTCTTCTCTTTATACGATTCTCTATTCCTTCTCAGCTGCATTGGATTCACTGTCTTTGATAATTTCCATCTATATATCAGCTGACCAGTCTATTACGAAGTAAGCCAACTTAATTCAACTCAAAAGAGAGAAGAAGAAGAAGAAGAAGAAGAAGAAGAAGAAGAAGAAAAAATCAAGATGCCGGTGAGACGCGATTCCCTCAGGCCTGGTGACCACATCTATTCTGATCGCTGTCTACGTGTCTACTTTCACCATGGTACAGTCTTTTTTTTTTTATTATTATTCATGAAGGAATTAAAATTTTCATTCTATGCAAAGAGCTAGAAATCTATGTTGGTATGTAAACATAGAATCTAAATCAAAGTTTAAAGATGTATACATAAGTTTCCCTGGTTTCATGCCTGCAGGCATATATGTAGGGAAAGCGACTGTGACCAACTCGAGGAACGAAGAAAAAGAAATAGACGATGCGGTTATTCACTTCATGGGAGTTGGCAAATCCAATAACAAAACCCCATGCGAAAGATGTGGTCACAGGTCTCGAAGAATCGGGGTTGTTATAACCTGCCTCGAGTGCTTCCTCGAAGGTCAATCACTATATGTCTATGAATACGATGTCCCTTACTTGATGTTGCGTTTAAAGCAAGTGGAACTTGCAGTGTTAATCCTAGCAGGCCAGCCGATCAGGTTCTGAAGACAGCATTTGATTACCTTAAAGAGGAAAACTTCGGAAAGAAGTATAATTTTTTCTTTAACAATTGTGAGGACTTCGCAACCAAGTGTAAAACTGGGGAGGCAATGAGCAATCAATTTGCTGGCTTGGTTTTTGGATTTAGTTTAACGGGTGTTCTGGGTTATAGAGCTGCAAAAAGGATATATGAAGCAATCACCAAGGACAAAAAGAAAGTTTTAGGGGTTGAGGGCCAAGAAAGTGAAGGAAATTAAGGACCCAAAGCTATATGTATCTTAGGTTTTTCAAATATAAATAAATAAATTGTTGATTTTCCGATAAAAAAAGGTCGAAACTTAGGAAAATAAAAAAAAAATTTACAAGTATTGAGAGTCAAGTATTAACATTACGAGAATTTACAAAAAATAAGTGAATCATTCGGACTAGAGCTCAAATTATCAAGTTTGAAGTTTCATCCTGTTTGTATCTTGTACTGGAAAGTAGAATAAATTAAAGTGTATTATATAAATTATTAACTAAATCCATTGTTAATTTTTTGGAAAGATTAATCTAGCCTGATCTCTCAGCTTGCCCTGGAAAATTGTATTGTATAAGTCACATTTTCACAATTTTTTCTCCTTTCATAATATGCTCCAAATTTTCATTTTTTTTCAAAAATAATTGTTGGTATTTTATTCAGGGTCAATATATATAAAGAATTTTCAACAATTACTGAGCTGAAAATTTTTATCCTGAATTATAATTAATGCACTTGAAGGCTTGTGAGATTATTGGAAGTGTGAGGGTCCTTTATCCCTCTTCAAAATTTTTTGTAACCTTTTTTTTTTTTATTAAAAAATCGTAACTTGAAAATTAAAAAAAATATTATATGAATCAATTGAATTAAATTTCAAATTCTTATAATCTTTGTTTTAAGCAATTGCATCATCATCAATTGCAATTAAAGATAGTAGCTAGTATTCTTTATAACCACACTCTGTTTAATCAAATATTACGTGCAATTGGTAAATTCAGATTATGGTAAAGGAAAGTTAAATTCTGGTTCCAAATTATTGTAACAAATCAAATCAAAGTTCAAAACAAACATCGATCATCTAAACAGCGTTGGATGCTTTTCTTGATGCTCAATCGTTCCTGAGCATTTCATTTTGCCTAAGCAAGCATTCATGTGTCACATTTAGTGCGTCATACCCACCAGCTAATTAACATTCAGTCAAGTGATTCTTGAAAACTTTTCTTCTTGCTTTATTTGATTCTCCATTTTTTTCTTGGTCTCTACCAATTCTCAAATAAAGAAAAGTGGGAATTTTATGGAAAAAAAAAGTCTCTTCTCTCCACTTGTTTCTCTTCCAAATTCAATAACAGTGCGTTCCAGGACAAATCAAATGTAGCAAAGTCCTAACAGAAAATTATTGTATAACCCCTAGTTTTTCTTTAAAATCGATATGATATACATAAATATATTTAGTGGATAGAGCTATTAAGTTATAAATTTTGTGGTTCTGATCATGTAATTATTGAATAATGAATCTCTTAGTAAATTTAATCTTTCTTTGCTTAAGAGTTTTCTTAATAGATTTATGATGACAGGTGACGACTTTTAAAGTTGATTATTATAAATTATAATGTTTAAATTTAATTTTTTAGTGATATATTTTTTCTCTACTAAAAATACTTTCTCTTGTATGATTTTTGAGTAATCATTTTAACAGTGAATTTGTCAGCAAAGAGCTTCTAATTTTTTTTGGTCCTTTAACTGAACATTATGAATGCTCCTTTTTCGAATTTTAATGGTCTTTTAGCTAAACGTAGTGGCTATCGTTTTCCAATTTTAGAATAAAATTGTAAAGAACAACTGGCGAATGGATCATATAAGAGAATTGAGACTTTACGGTTACTTATGATTGATGCCAATTCTGCATAATTTAGCCTTCGGAGTTTTGCAAGAATTCAAACATCATGTGCAAGTCATGTTAGATTAGATTTGATAATTTAAAATATAATATGATAATATAGTATTAACACAATATAAAAGAAAAATATGAAAGTAACATGATTTAAAATTTTAATAATAATTATATATGAATTAAATAAAACAAAATAAAAATATATGTTATGTTTTTGAGTGGATATAAATTATAATACGTAATTTTTATTAAAAATATCTTATAAATATATAAATTTTAATATTTTATACGACACGAATATACGAATGTCAAATCTATTTTAGATTCACCATAGATAATAAAATATTGATTCTTTAATATTTAATTTAAATTTTTTTTTTTTTTACAAAAAACAGTTACTCTACGTTCAAGTGTTCTTTTTGTTCAAAATTAAATATAGGCATGCACGCATATAATCATGTTTGTTAAAAAAACTAATATTTATTATAGTAAAAAATTTATTCATTATATGTGATTATTAAATGATAAATATATTTTTTAATAAGTTCATTTATGATTATTTGTTTTACATGGCATGTTTTAAATTAATGATAACATATATGTATTTCATCTGTTAGATTTTTTGTATTATGTATTGATCTTACTTTTGTAAAGATTTTGCTTTATGCAAAGATCCTATTTAAGTGCCAAATAATTGATTAATCATTGATCATACTATTTATTTTTGGACATATGAAACTTCTTGATAATGATTTTTAACATGTAAGTATTATTTTTATTATAATGATTATACTAAACAAAAGTGAAAAACAAAAATATAGTAAAAAGCATAATTATTATTAGGGCTACTATATTTACTTTTAAATATGATCTTTTTAACTTTTAAATTAATACTTTTTTTTTCAAGTTAAAAAAATGATAATATGAATTATGCATTGGAGTATTAAGCCACAAAATATTATTTTTCGTGAAGTTAATATAGTAAATTTTGCTTAGTCAATAATATTTTTCAATTCAAGAATTTTTAAATTAATTTTTTATTGTTTTATAACTTAAGTAGGTTTTCGTACATTTTCATAATTTGAGTAGGGTTTCTTACATTAATCATTAATTTAGGAATGTAAATTTGATAGTGTGAATGAACTCTATATATTCCAAACACATCTTTATTGCTTTTAGAGAATATTAACTGATTATTTAATTGAACCAATTGAAATTTGTTTAAAGTATTGAAGTGCCGGTCTCATTTTTTTTAATAAGACGGACACATTCCTCACATCAGCTTGATGCATTTAAAATTTTATTCCTAAAGTATACCCTGTAAGGATCAAATCCTGGTTGATAAGGACGCTTGGACTCATCCTTGTGGGGTGTGCTGGTCTGACTCTATACTTACCAAATTCCAAGCTGATAATAGAATATACATATGTTAACAATGAGAGGAGAAATCTGCTAAGAAGCAGGGTCTTTGGTTCACCTCTGGCTAAAAGCTGCAAATGAAACTAACTTCAAAAAACTTTTATAAGTTAATAATTATAATTGCAATTTACCACATACCTATGAGTTCCTAATAGGCCAAGCACTTGAATCCAAGGTCTTCTGTGCTTAAAATATTAGAGTTCTTTCTTTTTAATCCTCTTCTGATGTTGACTGCTTTCAAGATCCATAAATATGTTCTTTATAGTAAGCTTGTCTGTTGCATATTGAAGAATATGTAAGATCAGTACGCAAACCAGAATCAATTGCAAGTTTTATCAGGTGCTTAATTTCTGGATTAATCTTCATTCGTACTCTATAAATACTGCAGCTTCAAGTTCACATCTTAACACCTCAAAAATCTCTTTCCAAAATATCAATCAATTCTATTTTCACCCCTCCTCTGATCATTTTCACCAATCACAAAGCAATCATGGGTGTTTTCACTTATGAATCTGAGGTTGTTACTACAATCCCACCAGCCAAGATGTTCGATGCCTGTATCCTTGATGGTGACAAGCTCATTCCCAAGGTTGTTCCTCAGGCTTTTAAGAGTCTTGAGTATATTGAAGGCAATGGTGAGCCTGGAAGCATCAAGAAAGTTACTTTTGGAGAAGGTTAGTTAATTTATACATGCAACTGAATACTGTGAATAATAATATATTGAATTAGAACTTACAAATAAAGTTCCTTTATTTTATTTGTAAAACAAAAGCTTAATATTTGCCTTTCCATATGTAGGAACCCAATTCAATTACGTGAAGCAGAAGATAGAAGCACTAGACAAAGAAAACTTTGTATATATTTACAGTATAATTGAGGGCGATGCTTTGATGAACACTCTTGAGAAAATCACTTACGAGACCAAATTAGAACCCTCTGCAACTGGGGGATCCGTTTGTAAGACTACTAGTAAGTATTACACCATTGGTGACTTTGAGATCAAGGAAGAGGGAACCAAGGCAGGCAAAGAAAAGGCCTCTGGAATGTTCAAGGCTATTGAAGCCTACCTCTTGGCAAATCCTGATGCCTACTAAAAATCCCAATAATGCGAATTTGAGATAGCATCCACTTCAATGACCATACAATGTGGAATGTATATGTGCCTTTTTTTCTTTTACTTTCTAGTTTTTACCGTTGTTGGTTCATATGACCTTCATACTGCTAATAAGAGTCCATAGTTTGTCCTGACTGCCAGGAAGCTTGAACTGAAAATGTCAACCCCAGTAATAAATTAAGGAGCATCGAATGTGTTTAAGCTTTAAATTAAAAGTTGTTTTGTGATGAAGCAATCCATCGAAAATGATGATCAGTGCATTATCTTCATCTTTCAAGATTTACTAGTTACATATCTTGAACATAACAAAATGAAGTTTTAGAATAAATGTGAGACTAGTTTTGACAAGTACATTAATTTTATTTATATCATAAATAGTTTTTTTAAGCAGAAATAATTATTATATGATAAAAAGTAATAACTATTTAAATATTTATAAATGATTATTCATATAAATTATGATTGTAAAAATGATCATAATAATTTGAATAAAAATTTATGTCTATTTATTCATTATAAATAGATTTTTTTATATGATCATTTTTATTATTTCTGATTGAAAAATTTTAAGGTTTTATTATATTTTAAAAGTATAATTATCTTTTAAAAAAGTATTTTTTCGTCTCAAAATTAAAATTTATTTATATTATTTCCATTTTATTATTTATTTTCTAACACATAATACTAATGTATGAATATTAAAGATGATTGAACATGATTAATATTTAAGTATGCAATTTGTAATAAAAAAGCTGTTGTTTATATATTGAGCCGTGCAAACTGCCAATATAGCACTTTGCAAGAACAAGAGATTTCCCTCAACAAGGGATCTGGAGCTGTATATAAAGCTGCTGCAGCATCAAGTGACTTAAACATATCTTCTCTCTCGATACAAAAACCACTAGGATCACTAATTGGTAGTGTTAGACAAAGAGGTTTTTCATTATCAATTCTCAGTAGCTTTGGATTCACTGCCTTGATTTCCAATAACTATATATCAGCATAAGTTTAATTAAAAATCGAAATAAGAAAGTAAGATGGGTGTGTGACCTTAAATATTTTATAGGTAAAGCTAAAAATCTTTAAAAAAATATATGCTTAGTAAGATGCTTGTGCAGATAATTCTTTTTGAATGACTTGTACATATAAATTCAATACATTATTGTAACTAAGCATTTTAAGTCCTCACCGTCAATGTATAGCGTGATTCCTCTGAACATTGATATATAATGTCTAGCTCTAGCATAAGAACCTATTTTATAAAGTTTTAGAGCATCGGTACTTTTTTTTTTATTTGATTCTCGATTTTATGTTGCTTGGTATCTGATTACATCTATAAATTTGTCGAGTTAATTGCAAAGAAAACTTAAACTCAAGGATTTGCAATGGGACAGCACGTTGATAACACCAATTCAAGGGTTTAGGCCGATTGATCCAAATCGGAAGCCCCAACCAGGCGATCACATCTACAGCGAAAGGAGTGGAGGTCTCTTCTATCACCATGGTTTATTTTCTTCTTTTTCTTATGTTGCCATGTGAGAGTAACACTTGTTGTTTATCTTAATTGATTGGATATGATAATTACATTTGGAAAAAATGAAAACATAATTCCTTGTCTTTTGTCATTTGTCATTTGTGTGGAAAAATCTAAGAAATTTAATACAAAAAATTCGATCTAAATCTTATGGGAAAGTACATGTTCACATCTAAATTAAACTAATTATAAATAAATCACTCGATAATCAAATCATTTTTTCGATCCTTTTTTATCTTCCAAAGAACATCGTCAACTAGAGAGCTTTAGGTTATTCTTTATTAAATTCACCTGGGATGGTATCGTAGGCATACTCATGAAACTATTGACTTGTTCACTACTTCGAATACCAGTCTTACAAAATGTGGCAAAGTGTTCACAGTTGTTTTCAACAAGGTCATAGCGGCCGAAACAACTTTTCTTGTGGAGCACATTAGCGATTTCCACCACGGTTTCGGGTGGAAAACATTTGGAGCTGCTGCATGTGCCACTTCTTTTGAACTTTTTAACGAACGAGGATTCTTGGTATTGATAAATGCGGAGGGAATCGCTGGAAAGGGCACCGTTCGATACGAAGCAATCGACGCAGCTGTTGACGACTCCGAGGTGAACGTTGGGCTGATATCCACATAAGAATGGCCGGACTGCACGTCATGTTGCAGTCATAAGTGGACAGGGAAAAACGGTCAGGCGCATTTTAGAGATGCCAAGGCTTGTTGGCATTACAAATGAAAAAGATAACGAAGGAAACACAGCTCTGCATCTGGCAGTCATTTACAAGAGAGATAATATCATCAGAATTATTGCACGAAACCGAGAAATGGAGAGCGCCATGGTGAATAACAATCGCTTTACTGCTTATGACATTTTCTCTCGTCAACCAAGAAAGGTAAGACAAGTATGATGCATAATTTGATTTCAATTTGATGATTGAATCATTGAAATGCTAACTATAATCATATGATCTAACCCATTTGATTTTTCTATCTCAGCTTTGTTTTTCAGTCGCAAAGATTCATTATCTGCTGCAGGGAAGCCATGGACTACCAGCCTTGCAAGAGTGGATTAGCACAAATCTAAGAAGAGAAATGATTGGAGAAACAGATGAGGACATGAACATCTTGTTTTCCAGAGGGAAAGAACAAGAAACGGACACCTCAACCGCTACACATGAGGCTTCTGATGAAACAGAGAAGAGAAGTAGACTTGAAATCCATCTCTTGATAGCAATGCTCATTGCCACTGTCACATTTCAAGCAGCCTTCACAATGCTTGGCGGCTATAAACAAGATGGTCCTGATGAAGGCACGGCACAATTCGTACACAAGGCAGCCTTCATAGTATTTATAATATTCAACACCATTGCATTTATTTTCTCAATTGCCACAGTTTACATCCAATTCACAACTTCTAAATTCAGCTACAACCTGCGCTCCAGATACGCGTGTCTGGCAGAGGCTATGATTTTCATAGCTGTTCTTGGAATGGTACTAGCATTTGCTTCTGGCATGTATTTGGAGCTTGCAACCTCCATTGGCCTGCGCCTGATAGCTTATATAATGGTGGGCTGCTTCTTGTTAATTTACTATGCATGCTGGTTTGTTGATCCAATTAGCATGCAAATTCCAGGACTTCAACTTCCAAGCAAATACCTTAGGGACTTGCTATTTCGTTATGGGATTATCTGAACCACGATTTTTGGATGGCAGGTTCCATTGTTTGATTGATTATTAGTAAATTCCATCTCTCTCTCTCTCTCTCTCTCTCTTTCGTTTTTGCATTTTTTTTCTTAGGATATCCTCAAATTTTGTTTGGATTTAATCCTTTTCTCGAAGTGCATTTTTTTGTAACAAGATGGTGATGGTGCATTTAGGATTCATTTAGGATTTTTCTTCTTGCTAATATATCCAAACTCCCAAGTTAGAAGCTAGGAAATGACAAAAGAAAGCTGTCCAAAAGCCTATTGGATTGTATTTTTCAATTTTAGGAGTTCTTTTTTTTTTTTTTTTAACATAGGAGTGACAAATTTTGTTTTTTTTTTTTTTTGGATAAGTAATTTTTATTCATTATCCAAGAAGCAGTAGAATTGCTACCAACCAACAAGTACATACTGTCGAACTTTTTACACCACAAATGAGTTCCTACTCAACTCCCATCTCTCACATAGTACTTGGTTAACATGATCATAAGCTATATATTTTTTAGACCAATCAATAGTAATCTAACTCCATCTTTGATTTTTCTCAATATTTGCTCCCCTGCGAGCTCCACTGACTTGTATATGCGTGCATTCCTTTCCGCTCAAATCCAGTATATGTACGGCCTCCACGTCAGTCGTAGTACAACTAAGACCAAAGCTTTCCCTCGTTGCATACTAACAGCCCACTAAAGCTCATTCTCCCATCCTTCAGCTTCTCTTTGTAAATTACACAGGTGCAGTACCTATTGCCATACCCTCTTAGAGTATCTACAACTGAAAAAAATGTGGTCCTTGCTCTCATTCTCTTGTTTGGAGAGTACACAGTCCTCATCAGTGTGAATTCTCCAGGAAATCAGTCGATCTTTCGTTGGAAGCCTGTTAAGGATAGCCATCCAGGTAATTACAGCATATTTTGGTATGTGAAATTTACACCAGACAAGCCTATGCTAATTTACTTTCATTTGCCTCTCTTACTTGTTTCCACACACTTGCAGTAGCTAGAACCTTTATTATTTCAAACTATGCCAGCTTCTGTTTGTGTCAGAAATTTGCTTGCAAGACATCTCATCTGAAGCAGCTTCCTCATACACCAGCTATGACTTTGAGTTCTGGAATTTCCCAAATGCTTCTTCCTTTTAGCATATATATGTGTATCTATGCAATCCATAACAAACCTGCTTGTGTAAAGATAGATTATAAAAGCCTAAGCATGCAGACTTTGTTCCACGCACCAACATCTTTTAATCCCAACCCTCTTTCTGACTTTGGTTTACATATTGCCTGCCATCTTACTCAGGCTCCCTTTGTTGTGCTTGATTGGCCTTTCCAAAAAAATGCTGAACAGAGCTGGTTGATCCTCTTAATTACTTTTTTTGGAAGAACAAACTGTTTGCACCAGTTGTTATGAATACTAAAAAAGACAGATTGGATCAACTGTAGTCTACTTGCATACGACAAATGTCTTGCCACCCAGCTATGAATTCTTGCTACGATCCCCTCAATTAGTGGCATACAATCTGTCATAGTAAACCTTCATAGCACCAGTGGAACCCCAAGATATCTAACAGGAAGTTTTCCCATCTTGAACCCCGTGACTTTCAGGATTTCTTCAAGCTCAGTTCTTGGAATCCCTGTATAATATAGGTCACTATTGGCACTATTTAGCTGTAGTCCAGAATAAGTGTAAAACTGCTTTAGTATGACTTGAATTCCCTCAACAGAATCCAGCTTCCCATTTGTGAAGATAAAGAGAGCATCAGCAAAACATAAGCGCGTCAAGTTCACCTTCTTGCATTTGGGATGGTAAGAAAAAATGCCATAGGATGCAGCACTATCCAATAAACTGTCCAAAACATTCATAGCAATAACAAATAAGTATGGTGACATAGGATCCCCTTGCCTTACTCCTCTTGCCCCTTAAAATATCCCACCAAGCCTCCATTGATTGATAATGAGAACATTGATGAAGTGAAAGTTTTTTATCCAACCAACGAACCTTCTTGGAAATCCCATTGCCTCTAGAACTGAGATTAAAAATTCTCAATTTAACGAATCAAATGCTTTCTTTAAATCAATTTTAATAGCGCGCCTTAGGGACATGGTAGCTCTACTATAACCTCTCACCAATGCCCTAAGTACATTGTCTGCTATGCTTCGCCCTTTTATAAAGGTGCTTTGACTGTTGCTGATTAAGGATGGCAAAAACTATTGCATTCTGGTATTCGGTATCCTTATTATACTCTAGTAAATGACAGTATAGCAAGATATTGGTCTATAATCAAAGATGCTGGCTGGAGATAGGATTTTTGGTACCAAAGTTATTATTGTAGAGTTGAAAGCAGGTAGAATATCTTCAGTTTAAAAGAAATATGATATAGCTGCAATGACATACTCCTCTACTATACTCCATGCAGACTTGAAGAAATGGGCATTGAAACCATCAGGGCCTGCTGCTTTATCACTATGCTGAGCAAAGATAGATTCCTTAATTTCTTCCCTCGTAACATTTTGTAATATAACATTCCGCTACTCGTCCGTCAAGGATACTTGGATTAAGTCAGTTAACAACTCTTTCTTGCAACCTTTAACATTAGCATTAGTTGTGCCTATCTGCTGTTTAAAAAATCCCACAGCCTCATCTGATATCTGTGAGAAGGTATCCAACCTGTTTCCCTTACTGTCATGCAGTACCCGTATATTGCTTCTCCTCTGCCTTGCTGCCACTATTTTGTGAAAGAAACTTGAATTTTGGTCTCCTTCTTGCACCCATCTAATTCTTAACTTCTGTTTCCATAAGCTTTCCTCCGCTTTTAACAGTTCAAAGAGTTCCAATGACAGTTTCCTCTCATTCTCTGCATCAGCCATAGATGATTGCATTAATGTTGCAAGTTGTGCTGCTGCTAACTCTTCTCTTTTCATTCTTACCTTCTCCGTTAAATCTCCATATTGTGTGAAGTTGAAATTCCTTAGCATTGGCTTCAGCCTCTTTAATTTCTTATGCAATACAACCATAGGTTTACCACTCACTGGTATAGTCCAGGATTCTTTCGCTAGCTTTAAAGACTCAGGGTACTTTACCCAAAAATTGAAGAACTTAAATGGTTTTAGTGGTGGCTGTTTCAATGTAGTCAACTTTATAAGCGCTAGACAATGGTCAGATACTTCAGGGATAAGGAATTCAACTTCTCAATTTAGTACTTGCGTGAGGCGTGAGCCATGTATCATTGATAAGCGCTCTTATCCAATTTCCTTGACAGTGTATGATTGCTCTAAGTAAAAAGAGGCCTTGTGTAACATTAAAATCTCCAGCCAACATCCATGGAGAGCTTTCTACAATACTTTGAAGAGAAATCAAGTGCATCCATAGTGTTTTTCTTTCACACTCACTATTACACCCATATGTAGCTGTGAAGTATAGCTTATGAGTGCCATGTAAAATGCTACATGTATTGTTTTGGTCATTTGTATCAACTAAATCAATTGTTGACTCATCTCTCCATATCATCTATGTTCTTCCATTGTAAGCGGTAGCATAGTTATGGTGAATGGACTAGCTAGCAAAATTATTGTTCAAGACTTTCTGCATGTTTAGTTGCTTCACTCTTATTTCTAACAAACAAGCCATATCTATTTTTTCTCTTCTGATTCTACCTACAACCTCTCTTTGTTTCAGAGGATCATTTAGTCCTCTGACAATCCAGCTAAGCACATTCATGATGAAAAGAGGAAGGATGAATGACCTCCTAGAGCAGAGTGTTCCACCCTTACCTGTTTATTTTTCCCTTTATTAATGGGACCTTTTTTCTTATTCTTCAATTGTTTGATCAAATCTGCAACTCTAGCTGCTACCGCCTTACTTTTTTGGGTGAATTAGGAATAATTTCCTCCTTTCTCGTCTTGCCAGCCTCAGGCACAACTAGTTCTAGATTCACATCAATACCCCTATCCTCTTCAATTACTGCTTTTAGTATAGCAAACCTGTTTGTGGACCCTAACTTCGCTAACTACATTGATTCAACTCGCAGCTTGCCTCTCTCAGGAGTACTCTGTGGCCCTGACTTTGCTACTTGCATCGATTTAACTTGCGGATTGACACTCTTAGAATTAGCCTCTGGCACGGCCTCCTTCACCTCCTTAGCCCGTTGCTCCTTAGATTCCTTTGGTTGCCACACCCTAGCTTTTGCTACCATAGGCCTATTCATACGTGATTTGTCTGAATGCCCAAAAACTTTGCAATGCTGGCATTTTAGAGGCTGCCATGGGACTTCCACTGAGATAGAGGCCAGTGTGCCATCTTAGAGTACCACATCAACGTACCTAGTTATATCCACATTAACCTCAATTTCCACACAGATTTTTGCATGAGTGAGCCTTTCAAAGTTTGCTCTAATTTTTTTCATGCAATGCCTAAAGCACTGGCTCTATAGCTTAGCCCTTTCTTAGTATACAGTTCTAATGGAACATTACTAAGATGTTTTCAAACAGGTATCCTGTTCATCGTAAACTCCAAATTCCTTAACCTCGGCTGCCATTTTGAACTATAATTGGCTTATTCTGTATATGCCATGGACCAGATTCAAAAACTCTGTCTCGATCTTGCTTAGAAGTGAATTGCAGCACAAACAAATTATTCCTAGCAGGTTTGATAATGACTAACCCTTCTTTTCCCCAAACAATGCTTACTGGCCTCTGAAATTGGCTAAAGTTTGGCATTCGCCCAAGGAACTGGGCCACCAAAGAATTCTGCCATTGGTGCACTCCTTTCAAATACATCATCAGTCGATTTAACTAGTGCTTTGCCATTCTGAAGAATTTCAGAGATTGATCGTTCGGTGCCAAGAAAAGATTTCTCCAATCCATAGCATTCTTTTGCTCACTGTCACCAAAAGCAGTTGCAGGGCCTTAGCTGGCCACTACCTCACCCTTACTAGAAGAAGATGGATCAGGAACTGTACCAGTCATTTCCCAAACAGATGGAGCACCAGACAT